AGTGATTAGTCAGATTTAGCCGCAGTCTTTGTGTGTGTGTCAGTGAATGTAGCATCACTTCTCCACTCATTTGCCTTCCTGTCCAAGGCAAGTTTAATGCCTCCAATTATAGGGGGGCTGTGAGCGGGCGGATCTGGAGTAAGGATGCAGTTTGGCAGGGGAGTTTTTTTTTTTAACAGAGAGGTGGTTTGCTGCTGCTATTGCAGCTCATCACAGCAAAGAAAAAAAAAACCTTGGGAGGCATGGGCTGCACAGACTGTTAAGAGAGAAACAAAAATGCCAGTTCTTTTAAATGACTCTGCGTTGCCTCTTTTTTCAAACCCGACGGAGAAAATTTCTGCATCTCTGCACAGCCAGAATAAATGGAAATCAAAGCCTTTCTCAGCGATTACTTTTCCACGGAACAGAGCATGTTTGATTTAAATGTACCGAGCAGCTCGATGTGGAACAGGAAGTAACGCATATGAAAAATAGATCAGTAAATCTGAAATTCTGTTTCATGCAAGATGTCCTTTGTGCAACGCTAGTAACTAATAAGCATGCATTTTCCCCTTTAAATGTCGTGTCGTAACTCGTAAGAACCACATAACAGTGGATTTTAATTTTAAAAAATATTGCAGTTAAAAATATATATTTTCTTAGACCAAGGGGGTTAAAATATATTATTTAATTTTACAAGAGTTTTATTACATTTTGTATTAATAATCCGTTGCAAGTTTGGGCTATCTGAAGTAATCATTGATTTTATGTGTTCATGCTTTTTTAAGCTCCCACGGGCCAAACAAAATGACTCTGCGGGCCAAATTTGGACCCCAGGCCTTGAGTTTGACGCGTGTTTTAGGTCTTTTTAATGCAAACAAATCTAAAAAATGTATAAAGACTATGGTATTCCATACTGTATCATCTATGGTCCATTGTTAAATACTCTTCAACAACATCAGATTCCCCCTCATTCCTACAAATATCCACCTCAGACTGGAAGTTTTCACAGTGTCTCCTGTTCAACGAAGGCATTTGATGAGATTTCAATGCATTTCTGGTAACCAGGTTACGGTAATCTTATTAAATATAATCCATTTCTCCCTAATTCCCACTGTATTCATATCCCAACATTAGCTAAAGGCTTTAAATGCGAAGGCAGTCTGTGCTGCAGCATCACAGCTAATGAAAAATACAAATGAGGAGTTGCAAACATCTCATTACTGAAATTCTCAATTTTCTCTCTCGGTATTTTCTTTTTTTTTTACATTTAATTAAATAGACTGCAAAGTAAACCCACATGCACACAAAAAACAAACACACACACATGCATACTCCATGTACTGCCACTGCTGCCCCGGCTTCACCTGGAGCCCTGTGTGTTTGGGGGGCCGACTATTAGCATGAAAGGAACCTCAGTGCTGGGAGAAGGTTCATCACCTCCGCTCGCCTGTGGCTCCATGTCTGCACTGTGAAGCGTTAGAGGTCCAGGGTGTAACATCTTACACGGCCCGTGAGCAGAAATGAAACACACTAACACTAAGTACCTTTGTGTAACTGTGTAATCGCTTCAAATTAAAAGTTCTGTGGGTTCTGTGCACTTTTAATTAGACTTAACGGTAAGGGCTGTTCTGAACAGGGCACACATATAAATATAAATGGGTTCATAAATATAAATAAAAAGTGTACAGTACATATATGTACACTTTTGTTTGTATATGTATAGATGTATACAATTTCAAATATACATTTATAAATAGAAATATATGAATAGAGTGAATTCAGTTGTAGCTGCCACTGTACTATACATATATATAAATATACACACAAACTGTGGGCCACACGGTGTTGGAGTGGTCGGTGCACTAGCCTTACAGCTGATAGATCAGCGGTTTGATGCTCAATCGTGGTAACGTCGGGCTGTCTGTCTCTCAGCAGCATGGATTTCCAGGGGGCCACACAAAACGACTTGGCGGGCCGCATTTGGCCCGCGGGCCTTGAGTTTGACACATGCGTCCCAGGGGTTAAATGGACAGTGTTTTAAATGTAGGACGCAGTGACAGAGTGGGGGTGTGACGTGTCACAGCTGAGTTGTATCTGGTCTCCGAGGCAGCGACTGTCCGTCATTTTGCCACAGGGTGAAAAAAAAAAACCAACATCATTGAACACTGTGACACTGTCTGCTGGAAAGAAAAAAACGCTGATCCAATCCAGCTGTAGGCTGGCAGAAGGAAGCATCAGAGAATCCGAGTGCGTGTGTTTGAAAGCAGCGCTCAGACAAAAGAGAGACCAACAGGGATCATTAGCATGACTGTGAATGGATCAGAAATAAAGAGCAGATTATGCATTTGTGTATTTGCTGATGAGATTTAGGGGTTTAGAACCTCAACCTTGTTTGAATCACAAATCCTCACCACGGGTGAGGAAGGGAGAGAAGGAAGACACCGACTTTACAGTTTTGAGCAAACGTAGTGGGGGAGCGAGGCGAGCGGGGGGGTTTGGGGGGGGTGAATGATGGTGCAGTTTCAGAGCAGATGTCCCAAATTGGAAACGAATAGAAGAAAAGGAGCAAGGGATCAGTGGATGTCGGGCTTAACTCCCGTCTCCGCAAATCTGCAAGGAATCTGAGAGGAGCGTCGGGGCGAATCGCAGCTTCAGGCTGCCAGTCAAAGTTCGTGAGGGCTTGTTTTCAGAGCCTGCCTTTGTTGTGGGCTGTGGGGCGTGCGTGGAACAAGGCTGCGAGTGAGAAGCTGCATGACTTCCTTCAGGGATTCTCCGCCGACATGTACGAGGCTTCACGGTTCACTGAGAAAGATGAAGACGGGGCACGAAAACACTGCCTTGCTGCTCAGGCTGGGAGCAGCAGAAGAGAGTCGGAGCGATGTAAGGTGTCACCTGGTTAGCGGGGTCAGCGGTGATGATGTTGACAGTGATAACATGCAT